ATCCCTTGTTGCAGGGGTTCTTTTTATCCAGTTTTCAGTTCTCTCTCAGGGGTATTTGTTTCAAGAATAGTTGTGACTTGGTTGTGTTCATGGAAGGAAGTGAGTTCAGAGTCTGCCTATGCCACTATCTTGACACCAATCTCCCAGGATTCTTTGTTCTATAGTTCCATGAAATATGTCATTGGGATTTTGATTGGGATTGCATTTAATCTGTTGATTGCCTTAGGTAATATGAGCATTTTAACTATGTTAATTATTCCATTCCATGAGCATGGAATAACTTTCCATTTCTTTGTGTTCTTCAATTTCTTTCAACAATGTTTTATAGTTTTCAGTGTACAAGTTTTTCACCTCTTTGGTTAAATTTATTCCTAGATATATTATTCTTATTGTTGTGATTGTAAATGAGATTGTATACTTCTATTTCTGTTCTTTCATTGTTAGTGTATAGAAATGCAACTGAATTTTTTTTTTTTGAGGAAGATTAGCCCTGAGCTAAAATATGCTGCCAATCCTCCTCTTTTTCGCTGAGGAAGATTGACCCTAAGCTAACATCCATGCCCATCTTCCTCTATTTTATGTGGGACGCCTGCCACAGCATGGCTTGACAAGCAGTGCACAGATCTGCGCCTGGGATCTGAACCAGTGAACCCCGGGATGCCAAAGCAGAATGTGTGAACTTAACCACTGTGCCACCAGGCCGGCCCTGAAATGCAATTGATTTTTAATCTTGATTTTGTACCCTGAAACTTTATGGTATGCATTTGTTATTTCTAATTATTTTTTTGGTATATTCTTTAGGGTTTTCTACATATAAAATCATATTATGCAAATAGTGACAGTTTTATTTCTTCCTTTCTGGTTTGAATACCCTGCATTTCTTTTTCTTGTTTAGTTGATCTGGCTAGTTTCTTGTACAGCTGATCCAATTCTGTATTGAATAATAGTAGCAAGAACGATCATCCTTGTCTTGTTCCTGTTCTTAGAGGGATAATTTTCAGATTTTCACCATCGAGTGTGATGTTACATAATAACTATATACTAACAAAGATATTGATGTACATAGATAAGCAGTCAAGATTAAGTATTAATAACCCTACTAAAGTGACCTTTCAGATGTGTCCTTTCTCCTAAGACTCTTTTAGTAAACTCAGATGTAGTCATTAGTTTGCACTCTCTCTCTCAAGATAGTTTCCTATGGAATTTAGAGAAAGATGTCCTGATGATTTTCTTCACTTAAGAATTTGCAGTCCGTGGTAATGAATCCCCTGAGACTAGAAGAAGCTGAACTCTCCATGGTGTGGTTAACTATAATGCTTTCTCAATGGGAATATATTGAGATAATAGCAAGAAATTTCAGAAGTAAATTGTAAAATAGTTTCCCTGCCAAATAGTTTCAATAACCCTGCCCCCACTGCTCATTTGGCCCTTCAATCCTCCTCACTCTCCCAATACAGACAGAACATTACACGTTCATAAAGAACCTTAAATCTGAGACTTATAGGTGTTTTTTTAAGTACCATTATTTCACTGGAGAACTCTTCTGGGAGAAGATAATTACAAACTCTGAGAGCTAGAAGTCTGTGCAGAAACTACAGTTGTCCAATCTTCAACTTCTCAATATTAATTCTTAAACTATTTATCATATACTAATATATTGTATGCTTAAACCTTTTATCCTATAATATCATAAAATCACATAAAGTTATTGCCTTTCTTTAAGGTCTCTAAAAAAAGAAACATTACAAAATTAGAAAAATTTTATCCTTTTACTCAAATCTTCTTTCATAAAACCTATCTATCTTTTCTTTTTGCAATTGAAGTTCATTTCTTCTTGTAGATAATTAATAAAACCTTTATTTACATCTTTCTTGGAGTTTGACTCATTTTCTAGAGTATTTTTAAACTTCTGCTCCAAATGATACTTTTCTTGATATTAATTTCCCTGATAAAGTCAACACCTCCTGCTCAGTCCTCTAGACTTAAAACATCACCATTAACTTGGCTTGTCTCTTTCCCAAAGGAATCACATTCAATGAATTTCCAAGTCAACCTCTTTCATCAATGTTTCACACCTCTGTTTTCTTCTTTTATATTTTATCACTCTTCCCCTAGTCAAGGACCTCATTCTCTGTTGCATAGATTGTTGTGGTAAGCTTGACTAGTCAAGTTTCTAGTGTTTTCTTATTTCAAATAATTTTTTACTTTGCTAAATGAAGTGTTATTACATAGAGAGGTCTTATATAAAACTTAAAAATTCCATAACATTTGTTTACCCATAGAAATATAGTCTTTAATATTACCCTTGTTTCTGGTCTCTATTTCTTGTACAATATATATCTCCCTTTCAATGTTGCATACATTCTGCCCCATGAAATCTTCAGCTTGAAACATATTGCATTATTCATCATTTTGATGAATAATCTTAAATGTCCATCATTTTTCCAAATAGCTTGCTTTAGGGCAGAAAAAAATGTGGAATTTTGGTAATTGAAAGGCTTTCAAATTCTAGCTCTGAAATAAACTATTGATGCTCAAGAATTAATGAGTCCAAGTTCATCATCTATTAACTGCACAAAATACCTACCTTGCAGGGTATTGAAGATTAACTAAGATTTAAAATAAAAAAATGTTTAACACATTTACTAACTGATGGCGTCTTTCCAATAGTTGTGAGTTCTCCTTCTTAAACATCTCCATGATTATGGTGTTCCCTCAACCAGTAATATGTTCCTGTATTCTCTTACTAAATATTCAGTTTTTTCCACCTGCTCCTAGAAAATGGATTTAATTCTTCCTCTCTTTTTTTCACATTTTAGTCTTTTTCCTGTCTTCCAGATTCACATTCTTTTTAAAAATTTTATTGCTATATACTTTATATACAAAAATTGCACATATTTAATGTGTACATTTTGATGAGTTTATACATGTGCATATATCCATGATATCATCACCACAAAAAAGATAGTGAACATATCCATAACCTCCAAAAGACTTGTGCTCTCTGCTTTTTTTTGTGATAAGAACACTTACCATGAGTCTGTGCACTTAAAAACTTGTTAAGAGAGAAGAAGCACATTCTTGAATGTACATTTTAGCACTTCTTGCGTTCATTGTTATAATTTATTTTAAAGAAGACCTTAAAGAAGTGGAAAGTTGGAGGCGATACTATTATAGGCAAAAATAAACAAATACACAGAAGACAGAAAATGCAGAAGAGTCTAGGTAATGGTAGTATTATAGTACATACTGTGGCTGACTGGGGAGGTGATGATGGTTTTAGGGGTAGTGCACAATGTGGTGGTTGAAAAGGAAGAACAATGGGAAACAGATTTAGAGATACTTTAATGCAATGGATTTACTTTCTTTCTGTGTGAAATAAAGTGAAACTTTACTTTCAGTATCTTTTATCCTGAGACTTTTGCATATGATTCCATTAGGAAATCCTAATTTTTTAGAGTCTGAATAAGATTGACACTTCCGTAATGTGCAATATTTACAGGCCTAGAAAGTAGTATACACATTAACTGTGTCCAGGATGCAGCATAATTTAAGAAAGCAGTCAGAACAACTCTAAGCAGTCTATAGAGAAGATTTTGACACAAATCTTGCTGATTTTGCCTTGCTTCCTGCAAACTAAAAATTACCGTATTTCTCTGTTGGGAAGACTAACTTAGACAAATGATGTCTTACCTAATAAAATGATCTGAGATTTTTTTGACATAATAGAAACTTTATTTTGATGTGTGTGTGTGCGTAAAAATTAAAAACATTTTCTAGCAATCAGTCAACACTGATCAAATTTTAAAGTTACTTAGAATTTTTCCAAACTGCATACACTTAGGTCCATTTGTCTCAAGAACTTGACCAGCCACAGAAAATCTGTTATTTTTCAGAGTGGATCAGGGCTACACTTGATTCTTGTTCAAGATAACCTGCAATTTTCCTGGAAATAATTTGTTAATTAATCATACCAGAAAAGCCCAGATGCCTTCCTGTTTTCCTTACAAGTGTTCATTTATTTAATACACAACATCATGTTGACTTCTCACAATATTAATTTACACCAAATAAGTATAACAAGGCATTAATTTGCTCCTAAAATTTTTAACTAATTTTATGACAAGTTTTACATTTTGGGTGTGAATCATAGAAGTAAATTTAACACTTTCAACCTTTCGTGATACAGATTCTGAGCTCCTTTGCATCCAAAATTTACATCAACAAAAACATACTCATATTGTTTATTGAAGTAATCAAATTGCTTTCCTATTCAGAAATACAAATGATTTCTTAGACTGATTCTGAAGTTTCAAAACGCATTTCTGGCTATTCCAATGATGCACAGAAATGTTTCCAGGTTTTGACTCATTATTAATATCACTTCTTTGTTCTTTCACTTAAACAGAAGGCTCACATTTATGACATTAAAAAGGCACTTTAAGAAACTTATCCATATATTTTGTCCCTATGTTTCATTCATTTTAATATTTAATGGTAAATTCTTTAATTAAATTACAAAACTCTGCACACGTTCATTAAACAAGAGTAGCAATGTATATTTATGAAGCAATAGCTGCTATATAAATTGAGGTTGATGAACTTATGAGACTCCTGGTTGTTTGAACGTGTAGAGTGCCTCACAAGGGATGTTTACTGTAGCCATGCTGCCCACTTAGACACGGGCCAATCCTGCAGAGAGTGATGAAGTGTTTCTCAGGTGACGTGGTGATAGGAAGTCCACTAAAAAATGGTTGCCATCTTCCTTTATGAAAATTAGCTTGAACTCATGAGCTTATATTACAACTTACACTATTACTTTATTATTTTTTTTTACTATTTAATGTAGTTACTATTTCAGTATGTACCAAGTGGTACAGAATTATTTTAAATATATTTTCACAGAGTGCTATTACTGGTGTATATTAGCCAAGTATTATCCTTGTCTGACACCATTATAAAGAATATGAGAAGCGTGACTAATTTTGCAAGAAGAACATCTAACATGAGATGGGGGGAATAGGAGACAAGAATGAGTTATTAGAGAAACCCCCATAAACCTACTCTCATTGTTAAATAATTTCATTTGATGTCTATCAACTATCATTTGGATGTGAAAATGCTCCTTGCCAAGTTGCCTAGTGCCCCCTTTACATCCTTATTCCTCAGGGTGTAGATGAAAGGGTTGAGTGTAGGAGTCACCACTCCATAGAAGAGAGCCATGAACTTGGGCTGGTCCTTTGAGATGGAGGAGGGGGGCTGAAGGTACATGCTAATGCCCGGGCCGTAAAGTAAGGAAACAACAATGAGATGGGAGGAACATGTCCCAAAAGCTTTTTTCCTTCCCTCAGAAGACTTAATTTTGAATACAGCATGTCCAATACAAGCATAGGAAGCAAGAATTAAACATAGCGGAACAGCTAACATAAAAATGCATACCACTGAGAGTGTGAGTTCATTAGCACCCTTTTCACCACAGGCAGTCTTTATTAGAACAGGAATCTCACACACCAGATGATCCAATTTATTGAGACCACACAGTGGCAACTGTAATGTAACAGTGGCCTCGGAGACAGCGTAGGTCATTCCGCACAGCCACACAGTGGACACTAATAGGATACAGACACGCTGATTCATGACGAGGGTGTAGTGTAGAGGCTTGCAGATGGCCACATAGCGATCAAAAGACATGATAGCCAAAAGCAGACATTCTGTGCCTCCCATTGTGTGGTAGAAATAAAGCTGAATGGCACACCCCATATAGCTTATTGTCTTCTTAGCGCTTCCCAGGTTAAACAGCATCTGAGGGACAATGCTTGTGGTATAGCACATGTCCAAAAAGGAGAGGTTAGTGAGGAAGAAATACATGGGGCTGTGCAGACGGGGGTCTAGCTTGGACACCAGAATGATGGCTATGTTTCCCATCATGGCCATGGGGTATGTTATAAGAAGAATAATGAAAAGAGGAAGCTCTAGCCAAGGACGGTCAGCAAAGCCCAGTAGAATAAACTCTTCAGGATGGCTTTTGTTAATTAGTGTCATTATCTTCAATTTGTTTAACCTATAGTAGGGAAGTGGCAGGAAAGGTAGAAAGAGTTATGAGAAATGACAAAACATAATTATGAAATGGCCATCTATTCATAGAATATGGGTTACAGTAACTTGTGGGGGAAATGATAAAAGGGATCTGACACCAGGTGACTTAATTTCCCTTTATGACACTACAAAATAAAGGCAATTACCTTACACATATAACCTAACCATTCTGAAACTGAATTTCCTCCTCTGTATAATAAGGATAACAATAAGCATTTCCTTGGTTATGGTGAGGATTAAATGACAAGTAGAAACGACTTTGTTTTGGAAATTCCAAAGCAATGGTTTGCAAGGCTTGAATAAAAGTCAGCTGAGGAGGGTGTTAAAAAGCAGTTCATTGGTTTCGTTTCCATCCCCAGGTGGCTGATCGTGTAGAAGTGGCATGGGGCCCAGGAATCAGATGGTTGCTTTTCAGAAGCACTGCTGCAAGGTATTACTGAAACATTAAGAAGAGTAAAAGTATTGAGGTAGCCATAGTAAATGTAGGAGGAGAATGCCTGGAGTTGTAAAAATCATCAAGATAGTCTTGTCCAGATCCAATTATACTATTTTATTTGAATAATTATATCATCTCCATCAGGAGTAAGAAGGCTGGTTTTAAAGAAATCCATCTTAGTAATTTGGAGTTGATCAAGAAATTTAAACACTTTCACATCAGTTTCCTAAAGTATAGACTAGGAGAGTTGATTTTTTCCCACACTCTAGAATTTTTTTGGGATGTACTGTTTCTGCATGACTATTTCATTCAAACTGGGCATTTGATTTTTCATGTTAAATTTTAATTTACCTATCTTGTCAGGATTTCCTTTTATCAAGTGTGTATACATGCTGTTTTTATATGAGTTTGGAGGAATACAATAATGGAGTTTGGAAGTTATCAGCGATTCACTTGATTGTATGTAGCTACAAATACATCTTTGTACTCCAGAGAACTGGTGTCAGGAGAAAAGCCAATATTCCAATTTAGGACCAGAGACTTATTCATGTCCACAAATTATTTTGCATACTGAGAACATACATATATACTCCAAGACTTTTGGATCTTTTACTTCCAGTGATTTTTCCCTCGCTATTTCTATTTATCCATTTGGAGATATATATATCTCTCAAGCTATGAGACACATTGTGACAACAAAACTTGCTGTGTAAAGCATATTTTGAGAAAGATTAATTAGGTATTGAGATTTTTTGTTTATATTTTTCTTTTACTTTAGTGATGAAGTGTGTTTCATGAAATCTATAATCTCTGTAAAATGAGGGATATTCAGATGAGAAGTTAAGATGGTGCATCCCAGTGACCAAATGCTGTGTTACCCGATCAGTCAATTAGCAGTTGAAGGGTAACAGATGAATTTTGTAGGGTTGCAAAGCATAGTCTCCACATTCTCTATCTCATTAAGTCCTCAAAGCCATCCTGTGGGGTGTCACATAAAGCTACTCAGGGGTAAGATGTGAATGTTGCCCTTTGATTACACACCACTCTTAGGTCAGAAGTGTGCAATACAATAATAAAATAATAGTAATTCCTACTAATCCTTAATGAGTTCTGTGTGCCAAACACTACAGTAAGAATTTACACCCATTAATCATTTAGTATGCAACTCCAGACCCCATGAAAGGGGAAATTTTAGTATACATATTTTAGGACATTGTTAATAATTAATCCCTATTGTCTGTTAATAATTGGAGAACTCTAAAGATCAAAATCAATCAATTTCTCAAGTAAGGTACTGAGATAGTGGGGCTACAAATTTGGAATCTAGAGATTTCAAAGAAATTATCTGCATTGTAGGGATGCTTCCTGAATGAGTGTGTCTCCTACACCTTGTTTGACCTTGACATTATTCAAAATGTCGTATGACCACATTGAATTTAGGAAGATATCTTTGCCGAAGTTTTTTTCGTCAGGGGAAAATTCTTGTTTTAGATGAGATATGAAATAAAAATGTTGTGAATTAATTTGATCGTTAAAGTAAATATTTTAAAAATTGCTATGTATCCTCTTTATTAAATAATTGACCCATAAGATATATATTGTCCATACATGTAACATCATTATACTCTCCCTTTACATTTTTCTACTATGAACTATTTTTCTGTTTTTTTAAAGAGTAATTTAAAATTTGACTCTCCATGAATTTCTCCATAATTAATTCTATCTAACTCTAATGACAGTGTTCAGTCAAGGATGTTTTCTGCAATTTTATTAAACTGTATAAATGCATTATTCATGATTTTGTGCATATTACTCACCTTACTGAGGGTAATTTTGTTTGTTAATATTAATCACCTCAGAGATTCCTTCATGTCTCTGTTCATTTCCCTAAACACAACACTACAGGTGTGCCTAATCAATGTGATTTACATAGAAAGTATATTTAAGATCTATAATGCTGTGTTTAGATCTCTAAATCTTTCCATGTCATTCTCATGATATTTCATTACTTCTAGCTCTTCAATCCCACAACTTTCAGATTTTTTACTTCCAGTGATTTTTCATCACTGTTTCTATTCATCCATAAATCTGTTTATCTGCAAATGTTTAAAATCACTTTAATAAAATGCTGGACTCTATTCCTTTTGACATCTCTTTTGTATCTCCGCTCACATTTTCATTCTAGTGTATCTTATTTATACATCATTTTCATGACATAAAGTATTCTGTTTACAGTACTCCTTAGCTTTATACATATGAATATATCATAAGAAATAAAAGTTATTTTTATCTGATATCAAAGTATTTGGATGAGAACATGGACAAGCTGTCTATCAAATTTTGACCATGTATTAAAAATGTCACATGATTGAATGAAGGCTTCATACTTCATTCAGGTAGTTTTCATCTGTCAGACATAGTGTTTACTGAAATTTGAATGCTTTTAAGTTTGGTTTAAATAAGAGACAGAGAGATTGATTACAAAATGAGAAATCTAGGTGCTGTCTATAGCCACTGAACTAGGTATTTCCAAACCGTAGAAAAGGCACCTAGAAATGAAGTTCTCTCTGCTTTTTCCATGTATATTAGAAACTAGATGTACACACACTCCAACTTCCCCAAGAATGCGAGGCGTTAAAGCAAGGGTCTTTTCACTTACCTTATTTTGATAAATACTATTCAATAAAAATGAATTATGGAGTACACTTAAAGTTTGCAAACTTTCAGTAAAAGATGGAGAAATTGTACTACACAGATGAGTATATAAGAATCGTCTTCAGAAATGTGAGTTTTTTGCTTGTTACAATGCTGCCAAAAAGAAAAAAAAAACATGAATTAGGAATACAATAATAGATAATATCAAGAATGCTTTGCGGGTGTGCTATTTGTATTATATTCCTGAGACTCATGGGCATTGTTTCAAATGGGCCATTTATGCTTATCTCAGATGAGTTAGCTGAGCAAGTTCCTTGGGACAGAGTTCTCTACGGACATGCTTCTTGTTGCGATTAGCTGCCTACTGACTTGAGGTTGGTAGCAAGTCTCTTCTGTTGTTAAATTTGTTTTAAAATAAACTCATTTGAGTTTCCAATACACTGGACACTAATTTTAAATGGGATACAATTAGAGCAAAGCTAGTTTAAACAAATCATTCTAGAAAATTTAAACGTGAGTTCCTTGACTATCTTATTTTGTTTATTTGTGGACTATCTCGCATAAGATTTAACTACTTCTGGTCATGCTATAAAGGATCACAAAATGAGTTGGAAAGAGAGGAAAAAACCATAAGTGGTCTTTCAAATGAGAAGGAATCAAGTGATATTTAAAACAAGATTTCCAAAATATTTAAAGATTCTATAAGAAAAGGACTAAATGGCAGCCTCTCTCTATTTGTCTCCCTCTCTCGCTCCCTAACACACACAAAATACCCCACCTAATTTCAGTCAGATACGTAGACAAATATTAATATTTTAAAAATTACACATGCAACCCATGAATATATTATTCTGAAAAACAAATGCAAATATACAAATAGTAGGTACAAAAATATAGGGTTCCCTGGACAACTTCCTCCCATGGTCCATAATTCCTCTGCTTTCTGTAACAGTAACGACTATCATATGGGTGTGTATCTTTCCATGTTATACATTTGCTAGATCTTTTCCACACCCTCTCCTCTGCCCCAGACCCCACCTCTATCCCACTATGCATCTTTGTACTCTGTGCTGCATCTTGGGAGGCTGAAGCAAGAGGATTCCTTAATCTGACTTCTGGTTAGGTACAGCCTGTTGGGAATCACCTGTTGAACAATTACATGGAGTATATTCCTTTGTCTTTAACCTGCTGTCCAAGAAATGAAAGACAAAGAATCGTGTATATAAAAGACTTTCAGTAAACAATTGGGACCACCTATAGTGAACCATCACAAAGCAAACAAAAACTTTTAAAAACTTAAAAAACATAGCTTAGGTCTTTGAGCCATCTTGCACTATGGAAATCTGTTTGGACAATTTATGTAGCATCTTGTTATTTCAACCATCTAAATTTTAAAAATATTTTTGTATTTCCTTTTCTTTTTCTCCCTTTTGTGCTTTCAAAACTTATGAGTTCTCTTTTATATGAATAGCCTTTCTTTTCCTCTGGAATGCTATAATTACAGCACCTATAATGCTAAATCCTGGTTACATCAGCATGGTATTCTATTTAATTTGTAATCTAAAAAGAAATTATTTACCAAAAATTCACCCAAATATTAACACATATTATTGTTTTTATTGTTTTGTACTTTTAAAACCACTTGCACACCATGCAATTTTATTACAGGCGGGACTATAGGTATAAATTTTTCTTCATTTGTAGATGAGGCAGCTGCAGGGAAGAAGATACATGGCTTGTCTAAGTTAAACAAAATTTATTTGACAAAATCAGGTAATGGAAATAGATGTTTAGCTCTGAAGTCTCTTCTTAGGTCAACAACACACACGGTAAGCTAGAAGCTTTTAGATTCTCCCATTGCCAACCAACATTTGGTGCACTGGCGCAGCACACATGAATTTGTGCCACAGGCAACTTTCTGAAGAACTGACAAATAAGCCAGCCATCTCCAGCTAAGAATGGAGGCTAAGTGCACTGAAGCACTAGCTTCTTCTTTACCCTAGTAAATTTCTCCTCCTCATTCAGACAGGTGTCTCCCAATCTTTATCCACTTGATCTTATACTTAGTCCTATGCGGCATATTCCCTAT